TTTTTAAAAAATAAAATGGAGTACTACTCAGCCACAAAAAATCAGAAATTAGAGACATTTATAGCTAAATGAATGTACTTTGAGGTGATACTCTTTTTTAGTATATGTCCTGCCAAAGTGAGCACTGAGGCCATACTCTAAAGTGAAATAAATAGGACACATGTGTAAATAGTGAATAGTTTCTCTGGTGTGAGAAACTGGAAGTGTAAATAAGGACTAAAAGTTATAATAGATAATGTGAAATAGGAAGAAAAGGGGCAAAGGGGAAAGGGAAGTGGGAGCGTTAGGGGAAAGGAATGCAAGGAATGGAATCAATATGAGAAACAGGAAAAATGGAAAGAAAGTCTTTGTAAATAGGGAGGGATGGAGGGGTTGAAGGGAGGCCAGAGGAAGGGGGAAAAATAAGAACTAAGTGAGATTATGTAAAGGTGCAAATTTCTAATGATGAATGTCATTATATTGTATACCTAAAATGCACCAATAAAATAAAATTTAAAAAAATTTTAAAAATTAAAAAAAAAAAGAATTTGGAATTAAAGGTCCTTGTGGCCTTCCACCAGAAATCCTGATCCAGTATTCCTGGGGCCAGAGCCTGCAGAAGGGGAAAGCTTGTAAGGTAGGTGACAAGGAGGGCCAAAATGAACCTGGCCTAATCAAGGGAAGCAATTCTAAGTTCTCAATATGGCCTTACTATTCATTAGCTCTGTGACTGTGGGTGGGTTAAATGAAATTTTTAGCCCCAGTAAATTGTGGAAGTACACTGACACATAGTAAGTGTTCTGTTCTTGATGTTGTTGTTGTTATTATTTTATGGTACTGGGAATTGAGCCCAGGGCCTTGCTCATGCTACACAAGTACTCTAGGTACTCTACCACTGCCTTACATCCCCATCTCTTTTTTATTTTGAGGCTCCTGGGCAATCTAAGTTGCCAGGTTAGCCTTGAATTTGTAATTCTTTCTACAACCTCTTTGACTGGGATTACAGATCTGCCCATCACACATAGCTCAGCACTTCTCATCGCCTCAGTATTATCATCTCTGTGTTATTGTTAGCCTTTCTGGAAAAAGTTAGAAAGTTCATCTTGATATTGGGATATACGAGTCTCTCTGTTTGTGTACAGGTAGAAATAGTAGGAGAATTTCCTTTATGTATTACCTAGTCACAGCACAAGTATACATTCTGGAATTCATGGGATAAACACTAAATTAAGGTGTTTTCATCTAATTAATATTAAAAACATTAAGGATGCTGCCATATCAATTTCCACAAAATACTCTTAATATTTGTCTCAAATTTTACACTGTACAATTTAAACAGATAAAATGAAACAAACCATCAACTTTAATTCAATATTATAAACTTTAAATAACATGGCAAAGTATTATGTAAAAGTTTAGTTTTAAGATTCAAGGTTATTTTATCTTAACATATGTCTTATCAGTGAAAAATATTCTATATGCTTATGACCTCTCAAATTTAGAACAAGATAGAGGGATGCAAAATCAGTACTTATGGAAAGTTTAATATTTCCTACTTTATTTTTACTTCATTATTTTCAGCTTTATTGAGGAATGAAAAATTGACCGATAATATTGTATAAATTTAAGTTGTACAACATGGTGATTGAAATGTTTACCACAATCAGCCTAACTTATGTGTTTGTTACCTCACATGGTTATGTGTGTATGTTTGGTGAGAATCATTAAGATTTACTCTCTTAGCAGATTTTATGTACATAATATAGTCTCATTACCTATAGTCATGATGCTATACTTCAGATCCCCAGAACTTATTCATAATGTAGTGGAAAGTTTACTCTTTTATCAAAGTTTCTCTATTCCCCGACACTCACTCCTAGCTTCTGGTGACAACATACTACTCTTTGATTCTATGAGTTTGACTTTTTTAAGATTCCACATGTAAATCACATCAATGAATTTGTATTTATTCATTCAAAAACAATTATTGAGCACCCATAATGTGTCAGTCATATAGTGACAAATATGAAAGGGAGAGAGGGAGAGAGAGAGAGAGACAGAGAGAGAGAGAGAGAGAGAGAGAGAGAGAGAGAGAGAGAGAGATTTCTGCATGAGACCTTCCATTCTGCTCTTTGCGATTGGTAAAGCTCCAGCTTCCCTTTGGTTGAAACTTACATTGATGTGTCCATTCAGGATTAGTCTTGCAGAAAACTTGATGAACACTGTCAGAGATGCACAGAACACAGCAAAGCTCAGGCACAAGTCAGTGGCTTGAAGCATCAGGTGGTATTCTTCATAGTGGAGTGGGTCCACACAAACCAATGGGAATTTTGCATATAGAAAAGGAAAGGCAACTGCATAACCAAGGTAATTGGTCCCTGCAACCCCTGAAAATGAGTAGAAGCAATAGTGGCCAAGAAGAACAGATTCCAACGCTACTGTGAAATGAAGCGGACATCCCATAATGCTCAGAATCACAAAGGTGAAACAAGCTTCCCACTGAAAATAAAGCAGAAACAAATTATTAATTTGGAGATGAGATGCTTCAAAGGTTTTTTAGCAATATGAAAAGAGATGCTGAGTATTAATCTCCTCTACTGGGAAAGGAAGGAGAAATGGATCTCTCTAAGCCCTGGTATTCTAGCTACCAGTCTGCAGTAGGTGAGAAAAACATGTCAGCCAATTGGAGTAAAAATGAAATCAATTCAATTTCTATCACATGTAGAGAACCAGTCTGGGTTAGGGAAAACAAAGATGAATAAACAAAATCTCTCCTCTCAGACTTTGCCATTCAGGGTGGATTCATGGTCCAATAGCACTAACAGATGTAGAGAGCCTGTCAGAAATGTAGACTCAGACCTTACCCAGACCTGGTGAATCAGAATCTGCATTTTACCAAGATTTTCTGTTGATTATGTACATATGTTGACATTTGATGGGAGTAAATTCTGGTCAGATAAGGTAGTTTTTCTTTTTCATGGGATTACTGGCTCTGTTTTGTTGAAATGAAAGATATTGTAGGTATTTCATCTTTTAGAGAAAGAGAGGTAACAGAGAGATGAGGAGAGCTCAGATTGAGAATTTGAGACTTAAAACTATATTATATTAAAGGGTGAGGATGTAGCTGAGTGGTACAGCAGGCATGACCACCTGGGTTCAATTCCCAACAGCATAAAACTAAATGAATAAACAAACAAAGGAAAGCAGAGAAACAGAGGAGATGCATTCTTTCACAATGAGATTCAGGAGCATTAACCTTAGCTCTGACTTCCTTAAGGGCAATAGTAAGCACAGGAACTTGTAGAAATTGTTTGGAGTAGACATCAGAAAAAAAAATCATTCATTTGAAACATAGTTTATTACTGAAATCCATCTTAGTAAGGCTCCCATTAGATCAAATTCCATTATAACTGGAAATCACATTCTCTATGTTTCATCCTAATTTAGTAGTGATTTGACCTTCAAACCCACGTTAGCAGTCTACTCCACGTCTTTTATCTTTGTGTCCACTGTTTGGAAGCCGATAGTAGAAGTACACCAGCTGTGATGGCCTGTGAAAAGAAAATGGGAAAATAATATCCACAATAGAAGGTATCTCTGGAGAGAGGTCAGTCTGTCTTACATTTTGACAACTTTATCATGAGCTAGAAGGAATAGTAAATGGCTAAGTGGATTTATGGCTCTGATCTCCTCTTCATCTGTGGAAGAAACTGTGATGACAATGAGGAAAATAAGCTATTAGTGTCATAAAGACAAAAGAAGAAGCAACATATATCACGTACAGGTACAAATTCCTTATAATGAATGTGATCATTATGTATATTTAAAATGTACCAATACATGTTTTGAAAAAAAGAAGACATGATTCATACAAGCTCGACGTTTGATTCTTTATGTTGCCTTTGCCATCACAATTATAACATCCACTGTTGGAAGGTGTCACCATAATAAAAGTTTGGCTTTATAGCCCTTGCCATATGTTCTAATTTGACTAATTATCTTTTTTCATCTTTCTCACAAATTTCTAAAATTGAAAATAGGAGGAACTGGAATAGAGACTATTACAGAACCCTGAAATCCCTCCCAGCAGTGGCATTTTCTTTTGCTAGATGCTTTCTTTTGAGATTCCACTGCCTTAGGTTGACAAAAGGATACAAATGCATGATCTCTGCTTCTCACATAGCAAAAATAATCATTAGAATGAATGAATGAATGATGTGGCATTTATTGTTCTGGGTGCAGAGGTGTGCAGCTTTTCAAAAGAGAGTTTTTCTTTTTAGTGACAATTGAAGGAAAAAGGCTCAAAGTGGAGAATGAAAATAGTTCACAAAGAGAGAATAGTGTCACAAGAATTGAGTAATAGATAATAAGCCCTTCCCCTCAAAAAAACGCCCCAGACATCTGAGCTCATCTTTGATTCAGCACCAGGTTTGACAAAGGAGATCTTGTAGCCATTGAATCTAGAAATTGCTTATTCTCAATCCATATGAATCATTTGGTCTTCATCAAGGAATGTTTTGAGGTTAAGAGAAAACACCAGGAAGAGATATTCCTAACATCAGATATTGAATATAAACAAGTCTAAAAACAGAATTTTTGGTTTCTGACAGAGAAATAAATAGGACTGTATGGACAGAATAGCCAAACTGAAGGAGGAAGAATCTGTGCTTTTACCAATATGGTTTTGTGGTGTGCTACTTTTGCAGCTCCAGGTTTGGCATATTTGTTGTTTAGAGACTTAACTTTTCTTTTTCGTGGCATATTTTATTTTGAATATTGGACTTAAAGAATTTGAGAGAAGGAAACACACACACACGCATATATGTGGACTCACACATGCATTCACACACTCTCACACAAAACTTCTCACGTAGCTGAGCCTGAAATTCCAGACTTGGCATGACTGTACCATAAAACTCCCATGGATTAAAACAGAACCATCTGTAATCAAAAGAGGTTCCTGGCTTGATTCTGCAAGAGGAAAGTTTCCAAGAGACCCTATGGTGGTTGAGCCAGCATAAATACTACAACAAACGAGGGATTAATAAGTGCAACTGTAACTGATGCTGCGAGGGAAGCCTGGGGCTGGTCTAGGCTCCCAGAGGCTTGGGCCTCAATTGACACATCACTCCTCTGTCATTAATCAGAGAGAAACATGGAAGCAAGATAAAAGCAACGGAGTCAGATTCACGCCCCTCTACTGGACAATATGGCTGACACTATCAGATGCTTGGATTCCAGGTTGCCTTAATTACTTTGGCATGAGCTGTTTCTTTCCTTTCAAAAGTTGAAAAATGCTGCAGAATTGTTGTTGCCTGTTATTTCTGTTGTAACTGTCAGCTTGAATTTTGCTTTGTTTACACAAAACTTTGAAAAAGATCTTTCACGGAGTAGGCTGAGTATGAACGCAGTTCAGTAATTTGTTATTCAGTCTGGGGATGGGATGGGGATGGGAGGGCAGCTCAGTAGCTTAGCACACACATCTTTACCAATGCCCCCCAGCACACATGGGAAAAAAGCGGAGTATTGGCCATCCTCTTCTCTTTCTTCCATTTCTTTTTGTAAATTTTATTTTTAGATAGGAAGCAGAAAATAATTAAAAAGAAAGAGATTTGATTGTTGGTGAAGAATAGAAAATTAGTGTTGAAAGGCATGTCACATCATAGTGAAGGCCTCAAAAATCAGGCTACCATGTCTGGATTTTGTTTGGGAACAATAAAGCAACACCAGAGGCTTTTGAAGAAGGAGCTAACCTGACTGCAAAAAAAGTATAAAAAGATGAGATGGATGTCCCAGGCATGCTGGACTGAAATGGACTGAGATCCCAAGATCTGGAGGCCCCTGGTCTTCATACTTTATTTTAAAACTTTACTTGTTGTAAAGAATATATCTTGTATTATGGCCTAGTTATAAATCTTTTTATATTTAGCAAAAATATACTTAACTTTGGTGTATGTGATGCCTTCAAATACTCTCTAGCCCATTCAATTCTATTCCTTGTAAATTCTGCTAGTTATCTAATAGGTTGGTTTTATAGTCCACTAACACAGTGGTCCCTAACATTTTATATACCAGGAAGAAGTTTCATGGAAGACAATTTATCCACCGACTGTGTGTGTGTGTGTGTGTGTGTGTGTGTGTGTATGAGATTATTCAAGTGCATTTCATTTAGTGTGCACTCTATTTTTGTTATTATGTTGTATTATATAATGAAATAATTACATAATGCAGAATCAATGGGAGCACTGAGCTTATTATCCTGCAGTTATACAGTCTCATCAGGGGGTAATGGGAGTCAGGGCACCTGAAATATATTGCTTGTATTCAGTTTACTCTAATCTCATTTGGTTGCTGTCACTGTAGAGAACCCTGATTCACAAAGATAGGATGTAGGATGTTGGGAAAGGAAGCAGACTTTCAGTGCTTCTGTGGCAATCTGAAAATTCTGCCTTGATGTGAATCCAGATTGTATGGAGATTTGAAGTTGTCTTAAATATACTTTTAAGGTCACTGTTATTTGAAATCTCAAGCAGTTGTTCCTCTTCTAGCACAGAAAAAATTGATTCACCTTGCTTATTCACAAATAGGTTGTGGATCCATTCCTTTCCAGTTTAGGGGTCTCTTGTGGCTGGGAAGCCATGCTCAAACTTTGAAAGCTGACATAGGTGATTATGCACCAGGTGTGAGAAAAAAAAGGTCCTGGCTCAGTCTTTTTCAGAATCCCTGCTAATGTTTGAAAAATGTCAAAAATCCCGATATTCACTCATTGCTCCCATTATTCCAGTTTGGCTTTGAACACAGCCACTTTATCTGCCAAATTGAACACAGTTGTAATTCTCCTCTGAGTGACAGACTGAATTTATTGAGCAAATTGAATGTGTTATATAAGCAAGTTTTGCAACCCATTCTGTGTAACTGAAAGTGCTCCCAGTGATGATGTTTTGTTCTAAAAACAAACAAACAAACAAAAAACAAACAAACCTCTGGAGCAGTGCTTATAACTCAAAAACTCTAGCCAGTGATCCAGCCTTAGAAAGCCATCTCATATCTGTGTATGAGGAGACATGTGCTTTGTGTTCATCTCCTCACAGTGCTTTGTGAACAAACATTAGTTAAGGGCATGCCCTTTAATGTGGTTGATAGTTTTAATCACATCATGTGAAACCTTGTTAAGTACAGGTGATACTTTTCAGTTGATAGCATTTCTCAACAAATGACACAGTGTGTAGACTTACATTCAGAAGTGCCCTCTTTGACCTGAGCAGGGAAACCAGATGGCTGTACAGTCATGGCAGCCACTCTGTCCACACATATATTGGCACAAAATAACCAATGCAGTTTTCTTAACACATAATCATTCCAGACTTGAATAGTTCTCTGGCTGTGGTGTTGGCTGGCAACAAAAGTGCACATAATATATCGTTAGGCACACCCTCCTGAAAATAGATCAGAGAAGCATTATTGCCTTGTTTTCAACATGATAGACTTGTCAACCTGGATTGTACAACACAGTGACTCATTGGTCTTCTCTAACATTTGAGCCTCAATAGCCTCTGCTATTTCATCAATTTGTCTAGTTTTGATGCTCATCAAAAGAGGAACATGTGTCATCTTTTTAACTGCAGCCTATCCTAAAAGTTCATGACAAAGCTTCTTAGCAGCAGGAAAGACCAACTCTTCACCAAATAGTAAAATATCTTTCAGCTTTAGCAATGCATTAGCCATGAAAAATAATGGTTTCAAATATGCAGACGTATTTGATGAATCGGTGGCCTTTTAATAATTGCTTCTGTTCTTCGTGTTCATGTTTTTTCTTTTTAAAAAAATTCCAAAGGCTTGTCCTTTCATGCAGGGTGCTTGGTCTCCACATGACAAAGCAGTTATGAAGGTTTCATTATTTTGTTGGATAGCCAGTTGCCACATATAGTAAAAAGTGGGCTTGGAGAATGTGAATCACCTATTGCCATAAACCTGCAATTTAAGTAGAACTCTTGGCCCCATAATTTAGGTAAGACTCTTGGTATTTATTTTAAATGTAGCTTTCTTTTTGTTGGCAGTCTGAAAGTCTTCTGCTGCCTCATCATTGGGGTCTTGTTCCCTTTATAAAGATGTTCTCCAATTATGTTTGTATTTTACTCATTTTGGCTAGGGTTAGCTTGTGGGCTTACTAAAAATTGTGACTGAGACAAGCATGCAGTATGGGAAGAGACACGATAGGCTTGGTAAACAAAATAATGGGCAGGCCATGCTCAGATTAAAATAAATGTTGAATTCTAACTTAAAGCTTGCCAGCAGAAGCAGCTTTACAAGAAAAATATATCAACTCATTTGGCACTCTGAAGCCTGCCACCAGTTGCAGCTTGTCAATTTCCATTCACTGATAGGATTTTGAGTTATTATGGTCAAACCTAGGTAGTCAAACCTCTCTGCTAATGTTCACCTGTATTTGTAGCTATTCTCCAGGACTAGCATCACCACCTCAGCTCCATCTCAAATCATCAGCCATTAGATTCTCATAAGAAGTGAGACCTAAATTCCTTGAATGTGCAGTTCACTGTAGGGCTCAAGCTCCTAGGAGAATCTAATGCTGTCACAATGCTGCCACTAATCTGATAGGTTGAGCTCAAGCAGAAATGTAAGTGATGAGGATCAGGTGTAACTATAGATGAAACTTGACTTGCTGCTTATCTGCTGCTCACCTTCTGCTGTGTGACCCACTTCCTAACAGGTCACAAACATGTACAAGTCCATGGCCCAGGCATTGGGGACCTCTGCACTCATGAATTGATTCCATTCGTTAGTTTGGCCATTAAAGTTATCTAGATATAAAATCTGAGCATAGGTAGGAAGTGACAAGAATGGGAAGGTTGTACAGTGAAAAGGAAGAAGAAATGCATAGTGATATATCTCACGGGAAAAAATAAAGCTCCAGGGGAGCTAATGGGAGTGGTCTGGTCTGGGGGTGGTCTAGTTAGGTCTTTGCTGCCCAAAGTGCAGTCCTGAAAATCGCAGCACAGGATTCAACTGTAACTCCTGAGACATGCAGACACTCAGGCTCACCCAAACCTATGGAATTAGGACCTGCATTTCGATAATATCCCTCAGTGATGTGCATGTATGGTACAGTTTGAGAAAGGTTAGTTTAAAGGAGAAGAATGAGTCAAAAGTCACCCCAGACTTTGAGTGAATGTGAAGTTAGAGCACAAAGAATGAATTTTGGTGACAGGTTATTTGTTTTTAGACAAGCTGACGATAAAGCAGCTTAGGCTAAGTGGAAAATTGGCCACTGAGGAAGATTCTTGGCTTGGCCAAACTGTAGTCAGGTTCCCGAACTTTCTATTTGGTCATCTGTGTACTTCCTTATAAAATCCTATTTTAGCAAGCACCCTGCTAAGTAAATTTAACAAGAATCCCCACCCTTGATATCTATGATTATTTTTGACTATATATTCTCAATATCTGTTTGCTTCTATCCACCATCTTCTAAGCAATGTTTGATCACCCTGGCCTGTCTTCAGCAAAAATTCTGGTAGAATGATTTAGCTAGAATATCCCCTTTATCCCTGAAGTTTCTTCTTAGTAATTTTCCATTCACTGACCCCACCCTGCCCCTTGGCCATAAATTCCTGCTTGCCTATCCCATATTTGGAATCCAACCAGTTCTATACTGAGGGTCCCCCGCCCTTTGCAATAGTACTGAATAAAATATGTTTTTTTCTGCTTTACCCACTATCCAGCTCTGGTTTTTCTTTGACACCACCTGGTAGTTGAGAGTAACTTGACTATTGAAGTTGTAAGAGACTTGAACAATCATGTCCTCAAACCCTTTCTCTAACAGCTAAGGAAACTGGGGCCTGCATGACTCAGTGGAGCCCTGACCTTTCCCCAAGTTCTTGTTTCCTTGCAGAGTTCTGAGTGCAGGTCTCCACTGGCCAGGTCTCTGAGCTCTCTCGGCCTGGGTCCTGTGATCTAACTCACTGAGCTTCAGTGTCTTTCTTCATCAGAAGATGATCTTCAAGCCACATATTCTAGGATTAATAGGGTTCAGTCCTTAAAGTACCACAATCTCCTCACTGCATACTTTCTAGCAGCTGATGACTTTAAATAACCCAGCTCAGAAATTCTAGGAAAACTGCATGTCAAGTGGCTGTCAGAATGGAGTTAAGGGGAGTCTGTGGACCAATATTTGTGAAGTACTTAGAAAGCCTTGAGTAAAAGGCACTAAACAAATATAGGGTGCTCTGTCACATGTAAAAAATCTATCTCTTACCAGTCTCAAAAAATTTGGACGCATTTGCAAAAGGAAAGGTCAATATGATTGAAATGTACAAATTATCTTTTCACTAAATGAAGACATACTTGGCAAGCAGGTTAAGAAGTGATTGGCAAGGGAGGTTGTAGAATGAGGCAGAGAGTTCTGAAGCTGACCTGATCAGACAGAACTGTGGCTCAATAGGAAACTCATTAGGAAAAAAACAAAATCACATTGTTCAAAACTTAAACATCATCGAAAGAGTGAGCATTCTTACTGCTTTCTTTCTCATGAGCATTTTTTTCTGTTTTGATATAAATACCAACTTGACCTTCAATCCTTGCAATCTAATCAAGGTTTAACTGTATATGACATTCTGTAGCATCTGAAAAAACAGCATAGGCATAATTCACTCAACAATATTTATCAAATAATATTTATTTAAAATCTAGTATGTGGGCTGGGGATTTAGCTCAGTGGTTCTGCCGCCTGCCTCAAAAGTGGAAGATCCTGAGTTCGATCCCCGGTACCAAAAAACAAAAACAAAAAAAGTAAAATCTAGTATGTGACTCTCTGTTCCAGGTTCTGGAGACATAGCAGTAAGTTAAAAAAAAATCCCTTCCCTTGTATAATATATATTTAGAAGGGGAATGGAACCAAGAAATAATAAATAAGCTATGTAGAATCTTAGATGGGGATGGGACTATGGGAAAAATAGGGCAGAGTATGACAGATTGGGAATGCCAAGTGAGGGCAACAGGTTACAATAGTAAATAGGACAGTGTGAAAAGACCTCAGTGAAAGAGCGACATTTGATCAAGAATTGAAGCAGATTAGGGAGTGAGCCAAGTTCAGGAAGAGAATTCAGGCACATAGTGTGAAGGAAAAAGGTTCTGAGGCAGAAACACACCTTAGCAGGTTTGAAAACAACAGGCAGACAATATGAAGAGAGAGAAGTGAGCTAAGGGAAAAGTGGGGGGAGATGAGGTCCAGGAGGTGACAGGGTGGGGACTCAGGGAGTAGGACAGGAGAGTGAGGTGGGTGGCAAGGAATCAAGAACAGAGTTTGGACAGAGAACAGGGCCCAAATGAAAGGCATGGGATTAACTAGCATTTGAATACATCTTTAAAACTAGCAAGGCTCTTCATTGTGCTCTTCGTTCAAATTGGTTTCGTCCTCACTGAGCACCTTAGAGTTAGATAGTTTCTCATGTGACTTTTCTTCACCCGTACGATTCCCCATATTGCAGGTAAAGGCAATGAGCAACTGGTTGACTGGAGTTCTTGCTTTTGACTCCATATCAAGAACATTAAAGTTAGAACTTGAACACAGATTCACTTATCTAACTCCACCTTCCTGTGTTGCCACCTGTGAGCTTACAGTAGCCACCAAATAGCGGTGTGCTGGAGACACAGCCATCATTGCCCGGGCCAATTGGTAAAGTGGATGTTTGGCACAGAACAGACTTGCATTCAATCTATAATGTGAATCAAAGTCATCAATCTTTACTGAATGTTTTACAACAGACTTCAGGGATTACCAGAAAAGATGGAGAGTTGGACTATAATCAAGGTTTATTTAAAATTTGGGTCAGATTGAAAATTTTAAATCAATTAAATTAGAATAGGAAATGTTAGAATAGGTTTCACATAGACAACTAAGTATTGTTTGTGAAAATTTGTTTCACATATAGATATGAATGTATAGATATTATTTATCTAGAGAGAACTATGTAGATGTGTTCCTGTACATTCCAAGCTCTGATGGAAAATATTTTTCTTACCAACAAAAAATTTGGAAGTTGCTTGAATAAATGTAATCATACTTACTGTATTCTAGTAGAAGTTTAATATTTCTTTGAATGATTGTGTAGCTTTTGGTAGGTGTTGGGGAAAAGAGAGGAAGATTAAGATGGGATGACAGATATAAAATAGTAATTAAAAAAGAAAATATGAAAGAAATCTACCACCCAGAGATTCCAGTCTCCCTCCTACATCCTGTTTCCCAATCTGCACATCATCATTAAACCCCACTAGGCAGAATCCTGTAAGATCAGGATCTCATTGTATCCTCCACAGGAGCCCAAAACCATAAGAGCTATCAATGCATATGTATTTCATAAATAGACTAAAATTATACTCCTTTGGGTATTGCTTTTAGGTTCACAAAGTTTTAATTATTGAAACATTTAAGATGTTACCCCACCTAATAGTGGTCACATTTTAATAGAAATTTCCTTAAGATAAAAAAAAACCTGCAAAATCAAATCTTCCAGTTTCCAGTGGTGAATGTCAGATCATGGGAAATAATGAGAGGTGGATTTTTTAGGGGGATGAGCCTCCTCTGCAAATTCTCAGAAGTTGGGCTACCATACAAGCCACTTATTCCTAAGGCTGGATGTGCTCATTTCTTTGGTCAGAGGAGATGAAGTATCAGGCCAATGGTTTATCTGTGCAATCACCCAGTGAACACACACTGAGCATGTACTTAGCGCAGACACTATACTCGGCACACCTACACTTTCCTGGTAAACTGCAAAGTCAGTGAAATCAGTGCCTCACTTCCTGAATTATTTTCAGTTCAAACAGTTGCTGACAAAGATAAAGGTGGGAGAATAAAGATTTGGGCCTTGGGGTCATGAAGGTAGTTATACCTTATTGTTTCTAATGAAAGCAGAAATTTGAAATTTATTTTACTTTGTTTTCCATTTTTAAATTGTTTTCATTGCTTATGTCTTTTTCTTAATTCAAAAATCAAATTTGGAAAGACAGTTTTTAATTTGAGAATATCAAGATGATAGGATCAAAATAAAAAACTTTCTAAGAATTTCTTGAACAAAGTTTCATATATAATATACACAATATACATGTATACACAAAAGAACAATATTAAGAAAAGCTCTCTACTTAAGTACGACCAATAGAAATCCATGTTCTAAGGTAAATTCTGATATTCTACAGAATTTTGTCTTCTTCATACTGTTGGAATATTTTTAGAGGACGTATTATTCTGTTTCCCCTTTTGCCTCCCATCTTCCTTTATTCTCTCAATATATTTAATAAAATACATTCCTACCAAAGTTCCATTCCAGATGGGACAAGCAATCCACACACTCCATCCTGTGAACCAAAGCTTGTAAGAAAAGACAGGGAAGAAAGCAATAACTCCAGAAAATATACTGAGACTACCCAGAGTAGTGAGAATTTGGCCAGAAGTTTGATATAGGACCTTCATTTTTCGCTGTGACTTGTGTCCTTGGTCTCATAGATGTTTTGTTACCAAAACACAAGGCTATGATAGGCCTCAATAAACAGAAGTTTCTTGGAGACAGTAGCCATGACACATGTGGACTGTTGATCTACTTGGAAACAAGATTCTATTTGTTTCAACAAAGGCAAAATGTAATAACATAATCCTTGACATAAATTAGACACAATAAATTCTATTACTGGTTTATGATTTCTTGTTTTGGAGTTGATGCCTTGATTCCCTTCTTTCTGCCCTATCTTGGGGAGGGGAGTTGACCACTTCCTGGCTTAATCAGACTTAAAGGCCCGTTGACTGAGCTAATTGTTTCTCAGCTCAACCTGCCTAGTGGTTCCAGCATAAAGCTAACATCCTTTGTGCACAATAGATCCACATTCCCAGCACAATTTCCCACAAAGCAAAGTAAAAATAAGCACTTGGATCACTTTTCATTTCATTTAAATGATTTAAGGCAAAAATGAAGCATTCACCTCTTTTCAAAATTTAATTCCACTGTAATTATTTTTGATGAAGATTTCTGATATGGCTTCCTCCCCACATAGGCATAGGTTTTATTATGCAGTTCCACATTGTTTTCACAGACTGACTGCACCCTAGCTATTTTATTATTAATTCAATTTTCAAGAATAGTACAAAGATGGATGTATATAGTTGTAAAATACAATAAACTTTAAGAAGTAATTTATCAATTGAACAAAATACTCATCTCTATTCTTGAATCATCATTCTGCTTTGAGATGTTGGACTTATGTACAGTTAAGCAATTGTAAGTTATCTTAATTTTTAATGCATTTGAGAACAGAACACATTCTGAAGCTACCTGAATAATTTTTCTATTCAATAATAATAATACCCTCTTTCTTAAGTAAAATGATGAGATAAAATCTTGTGCATGGATATTTAATGGTTTATAATATGAATTTTGGGTCACATAAAGCTGGGATCTGATTCTAGTTCCACTTTCTGCCAGGATTGAGTTCTTAAAGAATGGCAAGTAACTTAACTTTTCTGGGTCTGTTTCTTCATATAGGAAAAGGGAATAAAATTAGTGTCTATCTCATAAGGTGGTCGGTTTGAGAGATTAAATGAACCAATATATATGTAAATGCTTAAACTGAGCTCAGCTCAACAAGTTCGGCAAGACACCCATTATTACATTGGGTCATTTTATCTTTATTTTGGCAAGGAACTAATCCACAGTCAGTACCATTGCTTCTTTCCATTATCTTATAAACTTTAAATCTGATTTTTCTTGATCAATTTGGTAAAATCTCTCCAAGGACCCTTCATGAGCAGTGGAAAGAAGATTCGTTCTGAGTCTTTGGTTTTTTCTTTCTGACTTTCTGTCTTTAATTAACCATTGAACAGGCTGACACAGATTTTGACACAGCTGCATTCCTGGATATGCGGAACCTAGGAAATTAGCTCAGGCTTTCTGGTATAGCTGCTGTTTCCCATCTCCTCTCCATACTGCAGGCTGTAGTCTCTCATTTTTTTCTAACAACATTCTAGATACGTGGTATTCTGCCAGGGCACAGTCTTAGTGAGTCTTATGCATCCCCTAAATATATGACACCTTCAAATCCTAGAACTGGCACAGAGTAGACCCACATGGCAAGAAATATTGGTTGAACAAATTAATTAATAAGTTAGACTTCTCAGCAATACATTTAGGGACTCATGGAGCAGCACAAGTACAGATCTGATTGTGTTCACCACTGTCAATGCTAATGCTAGTTTGTTTCCTTGCTGCCAGGTGAAGGGGTCTGCAGTGAAGACAGTCTTGTTTGTGTTAGTATTTGGTTTGAGCTGTTTTGACTTTTCCCTTTACTTCTTATCTCAAGGTTATAGCTACATGGTATGTCAACATAGTGTGGGTCAGATCACTCTCTCCTGTTTGCACATTTGGAAAATAAAGACTGTTGAAATATTCATGTTACAGAGTACAAAGATGGCAAAGAAAGAGGATTTTTTTGTTTTAATTTTTGGGGACTTTTCAAGTGCCTGTAACTCTGATACTGTCAATGTACTTGTAACCCTGAATTTATTAGTGATTAGGTGTTGCCATTTAATACAACAGAGAGAAGGAACAGAGGAAGAACTAGAGATGGCTCTGTTTTCTCACAGGAAAATCCCATTCACTCTAATTTCATTACAGCATGAATACTTTCAGTGGGAGCAGCTACTGGGAAAGTAGAGACTGTGTAACTCCTGCTCCTTTCCATCAGCTACGTTTCTGTGTACTTAGTGGACCAGCAGCCAGCACAGCTGGAGGCCCCCTGGTTGGAGGGCCCTTGTCTCCTTTCACTCCTCTGTTTGGCACTAACTTACTGGAAGATGAATCTGTAAGTTCTCTTTGGAGGTAGGTGATGAGGTCAAAGTCTTTGCAGAGTTCACTGTTTTACCAACCCAGGGTACCCCAAGATCTTGGCCCTGGAAAGAGTAGTGTAAGGTCTGCAAAATTCTTCCACCCAGCTTTGCCATTAAAAACAAACAAACAAATCCAGGTCCTCCTGCCAGTAGTGATCAATCAACTGATCAAGGAAGGGGGCAACCTGAACTCCCAAAGCCGTGGGAGAATGTCAGGGATGCTGAGGGAGGGAAACTGATCTGGACATCCCTCTATTTCTTTAATATACATTTCTTCACACATGAGCCTTAAAAATAACAGATCTGAGGATGCTATAGTCTTGGGGTTTAAAAAGTTTTCAACTCCATGAAAAGGATTTATTTTAATCAAAAGTAGATAAAGGAAGTAAGAAAAAATGGAGCTCTCGTAGGTAGGTAAAATAAATTTTTATGTTTGTAACTGCTTCAGATGACTGGGTTTGTTTGTTTTCATATTAGAAAGCACATGTAGTGGAAAGAACAAGAACTTTAGGGTCACAAAGACCTGGGTGTGATACTGAAGATCCCATCTGATATATTAAAGAAGTATAAAAAAAATTAGAAAAATTAATATTCAGCTAACGCCAGTACAGTAATCGATGCAGGCAGGGATCATCAATGAATGCTAAAAACACTGGCTGAACAGTCACCACCTTAGCCAGGTGATAAAACTTAACAGGATCCAATAATAGGACAAACTAATACCACTGCCTCTTGATATGATAAAATGCAAGTACATATATCACCTAGGTAGGAGTTTTTCCAAAGACGTTTAGCCTGAACCTAACCAAAAAGAAACAATTGGACAAATTTAGATGATAGACATTTTGCAAAGCAAGTCTGGACTTTTAAACATCCAAGTCATGAAAGATAATCAAATGGTTAGTGGGACAATTAGTAATTTTAAGTATGGAGTTTATATTAGATAATACTAGTGTGTCAATATTATATATTTGGGAGCTCAAATGGCATCATATTTATATAAGAAAATGTCCTATTGGTGAAATAGGTGATGTTAGTGTTCTTTATGATTCTTTCTGGTTTTCCTTAGTTTTAAAAATTTCAAGTTAAAAATTGAGAGAAAGGCCCTCAGGGGTAGAGTTCTTACCTTGCATGTGTGAGCCCCTGAGTTTGATTCCTAGCATAGTTAAAAACAAAAACAAAGAGGAAAACAAATTTAGATATATAACTGCATAAAATTAAAGACTTAAGTTTTACCCAGGCATATGGCCATGCTGGCTCAATAACCCTTAATGATATTGCTGAATGTGCATCTTGTTGTGGAACATGCAAAAGCTCCTCTGCCCCCTTCAGCCCAAGATGGGATCAGTGTGCCTAGGATGAGAGTGATGCAACAGGTGTACTAGGCTATAGGGGAAGGAGCGTCACACATAAAGACACAGTGGAATAGGGGCTGGAGATTTAGCTTAGTGGTTCCGCTGCCTGCCTCGCAAACAGAAGGACCCGAGTTTGATGCCCGGTACCCCCCCCCAAAAAAAAAGAAGACACAGTGGAATGTATATGTATATGTTGTCTATGTATACATTTATGTATATATTGTGTGCATATACTGCATATATTGTCTATGCATATATTCCAGTGTCCTTCCAAAGAGTTCAGTTTCTTAACTACATTAAAAACTTTTCCAATGCTTATTCATAACTCACATTTCTCTGCTTTTTACTAGCTATTCAACTTCAACTTTGAGTGAACCCTCTCTTCTCATTATGGCTTGGGGCTTAAGGAGAGCAAAGTTCAATTTTGATCATCCCTAAGTGGGAATTGTCAAATTTAAAGCCTTCCAATCTGAAAAATGTTTGGACCAAAATAAAGATTTGTGCATCCATTTGTACTTACCTAATTCAGATTGTACCTGCCTTTTGAATATCTGTCCCTCAAGTGCGTTTTGAAATCATCTGGAATTTATCAGAAGTTTTCCATGTTTTCACAGAACAGAAAAACTTAATTATGTCACTGGCAAACTTGCACAGCTTGCTGTGGCTCGCTTTCCCAGGCCATGCAGCTGCAAGAAAATTCTCGTATTGGCAGACTTATAGGCAGCCTCCTACAGGCTACTGTGGGTATTGTCTGTCTTTTGGAAAGGCCACTCCTATCTTGTTTCATCCTGGAGATAGAGGAGCCAGAGATAGAGCAGTGATTGTGACAGCTACTGTGATTGATTGGTTCTTTGGCCACCGAGGAGAAGGGATGAAACTAAGCAAACAGGAAGAGAGAAACAGTAGGGGTGTCTGGGGAAGAGTTGGAGAAAAGATGGAGAGGGAAGAAGGACAACAGGAGAGGACTCAGAACCGAGAGGAAAACAGTCCCAGAGCCAAAAACAGCTTCCTGCATCACTCACAGATCCAAAGCCTGAGAACAACTGTGCAGAGTCAATTCAGGGACAGAGGAGCGATGGAAGCTGTGGGCCATTCATGTACAGCTCACAGAAGATTTTTGTAGGAGGAGGAAAGGGAAATAAATAGAAGGAAAGGGAGAGAAACAGAATGAGAGAGAAGGTCTAAGTATCTGGAAACGTTCTCAGATTATCCTTATTCTCAAAATTGCTTTTAGGGAAAAACCTGTTAAGTCCTCTTAAACAGGAA